TGCGTCTTGCCAACGCCTCACACCTGCCTGAGCTCCTCCTGGACGTCCCCGCTGCATGTCCCGCCGCTGATGTGGACTCTGCAGGGCATCATCTTCCTGCCCTAGGTGTCCAGGTACCATCACACACTCAGGTATCCAGGCTGGGAATATGTCACTGCTCAGCCTCCTCCTCATCTCTGCCACAGCCCACCGTGGCCCCCTCCGCGGCCTGCGAGTTCACTCACTCATGCTCACCCACAACGTGGCCGTGGCCCAGGCCACCGTTGTCTCCTGCATGGAGTGCGACCGAAGCCTCCACAGGCCTCCCAACCCACATCTTGTTTCCATCCATCCATTCTCCACTCTCCTCTCGGCCCACGCAGTTCCAGCCCAGCTGCCCCAACCTGACTTCCAAGCATCCTCAAGACCATCTTCCCTGCCCTGTGGCTTCCTTCCCTACCAGACCTGGTGGCCGACTGGGCTCAGGATCGCTGGGAACTCGAGAGCCCCTCCGTCCCTCCTAGGGCTGGCCTCTTCCCAGAGCCCTGCTTCAGGACATGCTTGGAATGCGGAAGCATCTCGGACGGGAGTCTTGACTCAGGAATCGTCAGCTCCCAGACCAAGACAGGCCGCTGTAACCAGTTAGCTGTGGGGGAGCATGATTCCACCACAGCCACCCCGTCCTTGACTACATCTTCCCCAGCCACGATGGCTCCTGGAGTCAGAGAGGCCAGAGTTTGAATCCAGACGATTCCACTACCTGGCTGTGTGGAGCAGTTGCTTGATCCCTCGGAGCCTACGTTTTCTCATCTGTACGATGGGTGATACATTGCTACCGTGCAGGCTTGTTGGCAGGACTGGGGGGTGCAATCCGTGTGAATTCTTGTGTCTGCGGTCAGACCCGGGGAGGCGGATTCGAGGGCAAAGTCACCTGTAAAGCGAAGGCTCCTGGGGAGATTGGTGAGGGTACTGTGGGTGAAGGACCGGGAAAGGAGGAAGGCAAGCAAGCAGGTTGTGCTAGCGCCCCGGGGGTTTGGAGCACGGGTCACATCTCATAGTTGCCCCAGCACAGCCATGGACAGGGCCCTACTGGTCAGCCGTGTGCTGACAGTGACGCAGAGAGGGAAATGGAAGTTCCCAGTCACTTTCTGAACAAAGATGTGCGCAATGGGCCTCAGTTGCCCAAGGACGATCCTCCAGAGACAGGAGCTCTACAAGGAGAGCCAAGGGGACTGGGTGGGAACCCACCTTGTCCCTTTTGACTCGGCTTGTAATAAAGATCTCATAACTTGGCTGAGTGTGGTGGCTCACGCCTATAATCCCAGGGATTTGGGAGGTCGAGGCGGGAGGATCACTTGAGGCCGGGAGTTCAAGACCAGCCTAGGCAACATAGTGAGATCTCGTCTCTACAAAAAATTTTTTTAAAAAATTAACCAAGCATGGTGGCATGCACCTGTTGTCCCAGCTGTCACTCAGGAGGCTGAAGTGGGAGGATCATTTGCGTTCAGGCGTTTGAGGCCGCAGTGAGCTATGATCACTCCACTGTACTCCAACCTGGGCAACAGAGTGAGACCCTGTCTCTCTCTCCCTCTTAAAAACAAACAAACAAACAAAAAAAAAAATCTCATAACGGTTGGCTCTTACTGTGACAACTGTTGCTACAACAACAACAATTATTATCCTTATTGTTATTAACTTCCTTGACTTGGGTGGGCTGAAACTTTCAGACAGATGCTTCCAACCCCAGTGAGGAGACAAAGACATAAATTTAGCCATCCAGCGGGAATGAGAGGCATAACGCCAGCCGGGAGACTGGGTCCCAGGGCGCGTTTCCATGGTTAACTGCCTTCCAGAGCACCCCAGCCCTGGCCCCGCCCATCCCCCATCTCCTCTGGAAGAGCAGAGCCAAGCCCTGCTGTGAGGAGAGGCGGGAGGGGAGGCCTGGCCCTGCCATGTGGGCAGGGATGCGCATACCCCCTGGGGTGTGGGGGCCGTGGGGGCGGCCGCTGAGTCAGTGCACAGCACCACCATGAGGGCTGCCCGCCAGCCGGCACCGGCGGGGTCTGGCAGCCTTGCCAGAGGAGCGACAGCAGCTTTGAGGTGAAGGCTGCGGGCTGGGGTGAACCCTCCTGGGGGCGGCCCCCTTCCTGGCAGGGCTCCGCTCTCTCTGAATTTCCTGCCTTTCTCCCTGCTGCCTGGTGGGCCTCCGGCCAGCAAAGGGCCTCAGAGGCTGTGAGTGTGCGGTACCAGGGGGTATTTTAACAATATCTAGGCTGCCAAGAGCACATTATTCTCTTGCAGAAATCCAAGGAATTGCCCAGGAGATACGGTATTTTGGTAGCAAAAAAAAGGAAAGGAAAAAGAGGAAAAGAAAAGTTCTCCAAAACTCTAAAAGCCCTGTCGTGCTAAGAATGATAGTGGGGGTATCAGATTCTGGGTTCTTCATCAGGAAGCAGATAGGGACTCAGAACTTGCTGTTTGTTTCACTTGATAAATACAAGCAGTATTTATTAGATGTCCCAGGACATTCCTGGTGGAAGGAACAGCTTGTGCAAAGGCAGAGAGATAGACAAGGACATGTTTGACAGCTTCAAAGAAGAGAAAAGCTGAATATGAGGACTCTTGGTTGTGATAGAAATCCTATCTCAAACTGGCTTAGGCAATGACAACACATTAATTGGTCCATGTGATTGAAAGAACAAGGGAATTGCAGCTTCAGGCGTGGCTGGATCGAGGAGTTCCATGACACGATGTCATGTGGGCACCATCTTCCTCCGTCTCTTGGTTCTGCCTTCCTTGGCATGGGCTTCACTCTCAGGAAGGCTCTTGCCTGGTGACTCCTTCCAGTCTCAAACCTGGTAAAAAAAAAAAAAAGTTGTGGGGTTGGCTTCCCTTTCCCAATAGTTCCTGTAGAGGTCCTGTGGCTGACTTTCACACTTTCACTGAACTGACTTGGGTTGTGGGTCTACCCCTGACTGCCCAGACGGGTCTATAAAGTATAGGTCTTGCCTGGACCGTTGGCTAGTGTGGCCTGGAAGGCAGGCCACATAGATGTGTTCCTAGTTCTCTCTTCTGTTCTCTGCCTTTTTTCTCAGAAATCTTAGTGTTCCTAAGAGAAATTTCATTTCTCCCTCTTGACTCTGTCTCTGTCCTTGACCTCACTCTAGAGCCCTTGGGCTTCATTTCCAGTTCCTACTGGATATCTCCCCACCACATTCCTCCCAAATAACAATTATAATAGTATATGTGATTTGAGCTCTCACTATGTGCTAATCAGAAGCTCTTTACATTGCTGTATCATCTAATCCTCACAATACTATGAGATAGGTGTTATTATTATTCCCATTTTATAGATGAGGAAACTGAGGCATAGAGAATTCATTCTTGAACCAATGACTGGCGTTGACCAGACACAGAGCTCTGATCGGCTAGACATGAGTCATGTGCCCCAACATGGAGCCCAGCTGTGAGTCAGATGCCACCGAGCCATGTAGACTAGAGCGGGAAGGGGCTCTCCAAATAAAAAACAAGTAGGAACAAGAATAACATGGGGTAGAAAAGCAGCAGATGCCCCCCTAAACTAGATGACAAATAATGGTAACCCAATTCAGAACAATTTGGGGAAAAAGGGGAGTGTGCTATCTCAGGGAATACAAACAAAGTTGGAAAAGCCATCCACTGGAAGGATAGGGGTGCCACTGGCTTTCAGGAACAACTGGAACCAGGTGTTCAGGTGGTCAGAATGCTTGGACGCTCATCTGGGCTTCTCCCTCCCAGTCTGCTGTCAGGCGGCATGGGTTGTAGTTGCTCCGTGGGTTCTTGACTTTGTTACAGAAAAGCATTTCAGAGCAAGTCACAGAAAGAGTTGAGGTATAGTTTATTATACCTGGGGAGGAAAACACGTTCAAGAAAGAATGCAGGTGCCTTAAGGAAAAGGACATGCACTTGCCTTTACCAAAAAGCTTTATATAATATTTATAATAATGATTAAGCAAACCATTCTATATGCTAAGGGGGGTTGGTATCTGATCATAAGTTTAGATTGCTATCTCTTAACCTTTTAAGGTCACTGATAAGTTCCACTTCCAACCTGCAAGATGATCAGGTTTGATATACCTGGCCTGTGGTCAGGTGAAGATTGTGTACTGATGAGAAAGACACCGGACTGCTTAACCCCCCTGTTCCCCAGTTATCTAAATTAGACCGCCCTAAGAAAACTTACCTAACTACTTCTAAACTATGCACTGTGATAACGATATCTGCCTCAGTTCCACACTCAGATTTCTAGAGGCAGGCTTTGATTGGCCAATTCTAGGTCAGATTATCATACCAGACCAATAGGAATTTTCCCGGGAGAGCAGGATCACACCAGAACATGGTAGCTCCTGGGAGAACCACAAGGTAGAAGCTGTGAGGATAGCAGTGGTGGTGTCTAAAAAAAGTAGGGTCGGGTAACAGGGCAGATAAAAGTGTAGGTGTCCTTTGAGGGCAAGCCTGATGTATGTGTGCGAGTTGAGAGACTTCTAACTGCAGGTAGCAGAGAACCTCACACTAACTGGCTTAACCATAGGGCAATTTATCTCACATAAAAGTCCAGCACAGAGTCGCCCTCAGGGCTGGCGATTGGCCCCATGCGGTCATCTTTCCTCGCTCTGCTTAGCAACTACAGTCAGCGTCATCCTGAAATGGTGGCTTTGTGGTCACAAGATGACTCTTAGTAGCGACCACCTACAGAGGAGAAAACGAGGGGTCTCTTGTCCAGTCACTGGGTGAAGGTTCTTCCCCAGCAACGAAGAATGGAAATGCCAGGCTCCAACGCACTTTGGCTTGGCCTCCTGAGCCAGGCCCTGCTGGCCAGGACAGGACAGCCACGACTCCCTTCCATGGATCAGGACCCAACCCAGAATGGGGCCTATTCCAAGATGCCTTGCTACCCTCAGCGGGCATGGGAGGAAAGGACACAGGGGGAGACCGCCTCCGTGGGCCCAGTGTCTCATGACTTTTCTGCCTCTGTTGGACAGGGGTCCTGTGGCTGTCGGTGGTCTCCGAGGTGCTGTATATCCTCCTGCTGGTGGTCGGCTTCAGCCTCATGTGTCTCGAGCTCTTCCACTCCAGCAATGTCATCGATGGGCTCAAGCTCAACGCCTTTGCAGCCGTCTTCACGGTGCTTTCAGGTAAGGTGGCAGGTCTCGGGCATGGCTACTCTCAGGGTGAGAGCTCACTTACCTAGGTGCTTGGAGCAGAGGGGAGAACTGGAACCGTCCCGGAAGTAAGCCCTGGTTGCACCAGCGGGGAGTCTTTGGGTGAATCACTTTCCCGAGCCTCAGTTTTGCCATTTGTAAAAATGGCCACTCGTGTGCTCACTCATTCAACATGTGAGTGTCCGTCACGTGCCAGGCACTGTACCCAGTACTGGGGCTACAGGGATGCAAAAAAGCAGACAGTTCCAGCTATTGAAGAGCAGAGCACAGGGAAAGAGAGGCAGGTGAACTTGAGATGTCTCCAGGAGGTAAATGCCACTTGGTCGGTGATGGGCGGTGGTTGTGCAGAATGGGCTGATGGCAGTGCCTTCTGCGGGAGGTGGAGGAGGAGCCTATTTGGGGTGGAGGGCGCATGGCTCTTCTGCCTGAGCTTGTTTGCCTTGGAGATGTCCAGGTGGAGATGCTGAGCCAGAGGTTGCAGGATCCAACACGTCTGGACGCTCAGGGCAAGTACAGGGGACGCAGATGGTGGGCACAGGCCATGGAACCAAGGGTTTGGAGGGGTTTAGGAAGGAACAGCGTCATGGGACACAGAAGGTGGGGACAGAGGACTCTGAGTAAAGGCCAGGAGATTCGGCGTCCAGAGTTGCCTCAGCAGATCCTGGTCACGAGGGCTTAAGCGGGGAGTGTGCCAGGAGGGAGTAAAGGAAGCCTATAAACTAGGGCGTCAGGAGGCCTGGCAGACGAAGCAGTGGCTTGGCTGCCTAAGACATTTGTTCCTGAAGAGCTGAATGGAAATTGAATTTCTATCAATTTAATCCTATTCTTCACACACTGGAAGAACTCTCTAGTAATGAAACCCAAGCGATGAGCCTTTTGGTAAGGGAAATAACCACCCCCTAATTGAGGCTTGTATATATGATGAGGGAATCCTTCAAAAAACAGAGAGCCGGGGAGAGCCGAATCCTAACCGCTAGACCACCACATGCGAGCATACAGGTGGGAACGACTGACGCTGGATACTGATAAGAAGGAAGGGAGGTGGATGAGGGGGACACACCCTCCCATCGGGTACCAGGTCCGCTACCAGGAGGAGAGCAGGCTCATTAGAAGCCGAAGCCTCACCTGCATGCAATGGACTTAAGTAGCAAATCTTCACGCGTACCCCACAAATCTAAAATAAAAAAGAATGCCAGATTCAAGAAATTATGACACCCTCCATAGATCAAAACATGCTGACCTGTCATTCCCAGGATGTGGGAAAATCTAACCATAACAATAAAGAGAGAAGAAAAATGTAGCGATCGTCATAGCACAGTGTTGATTCTGGCTCCCATTCACCCATCCCCAGCTACTCAGGACTGAGAGCCTGTTTCTTCTTTTTTTTCATCTTTTTTTTTTTTTTGAGTCAGAGTCTCACTCTGTCACCCAGGCTGGAATGCAGTGACATGCTCATGGCTCACGACAGCCTTAGCCACCCAGGCTCGGACAATCCTCCTCCTTCTGCCTACCAAGTAGCTGAGACTACTGGCTAATTTTAAAATATTTTTTTTGTAGAGACAAAGTCTCGCTACATTGCCCAGGCTGGTCTTAGACTCCTGGTCTTAAGCAATCCTCCTGCCTCGGCCTCCCAAACTGTGTGTGCCTCTGTGCCTGGCCTTTTAAAATATTTTATTCATTTATTCGACCAACATTCATTGAAGCCCTCCTGGGCACAAGCACTGTGCTAGGCTCAGGGGAACTGGAGGAAAAAGACGCATTCCTGGCCCTCATGAGGTCTGCGATCTTGCGGAGAGACAGCCTCGTCAGTCTCTGACGATGATAACATGGCACGTTGACCGCCAGGCCCTAGGTGTGGCGACAGCCCTGCAGAAGCAGCACTCACCCTTATCCCGGGAGTGGAGAGGGGCGGGGGGAGCAGGGGAAGGCAACATTTGAACTGAAACTTGGAAAATAAGAGTTTACACGGTGGGCAACCTGGGGAGGACATTCCAGGTGGGAGGGGCAGCCCTGGCAAAGACCTGGGGAGGTGACACATTCTGGGCACTTCACGGAACTTAGAATGGTGGGAAGCCAGAGAGCAGGAGTGTGGAGAGATGAGGCTGGAGAGCTTCGTGTGGGTCTCCGTGCTCTGGGGAGGTCTTTTGCCACGTAGGCAGTAGGGAGCCACCGAAGAATTTGGTGCAAGGGGCAACATGATTAGGTTTGCGTTCTGGGATGATCTCTCTGGGTTCAGGGCAGAGGCGTGCAGATGGAGTGGAGCGAGGATGGAGAGTCGGGGTCAGCCAGGAGGCTGCTGGAGTGATGAGGGTGAAAAGCCATGCGACTCCAGTGGAGAAGGGGTAGCGGCAGAACAGGCCCACTGGGCGGGAGATAAACTCAGCAGGCCTTGGGGTGGGGTTAGGAGAGGGGATGGGTTGGGGAGAGCAGAGTCAAGGTCAGGGGTTCCTAGCATGGGGTCTGTGTGATCCAGAGGCCTGTGAACCTGGATGGAGGAACAGAACATCTTCATTTCTCCAACTTGAAACTGGCATGGAGCGATCCTTTCAACAAGTCACAGCTGTTAACTATATTTCAACGTGATCGGTCTCTGTAATCCTGTGTGTTTTATTTTATGCAGCTGCAAACATTATTCTGAGAAGGGGCCCTTATATCCAGAAGGCCAGAGGGTCTCCATCTGGAGGACCACCCGGCTGTCCTGTAGCTTGGGACAGGGCGAGCCGTGATCTCGCCAAGATGGGTTTGGCAGTAAGAGAGCCGGAGGGGAGGTGGTTGGTCGGTTTTTGGACAGATGGCGCATGACAAGCTGGGGACAAGACACCTCTTGGCTCCCCTCCTCTTCTCTCCCACCACCATGCATCAAGGAACCCCCTCCATGATCCCAAGCATCCGGCCCTTCCCCTCAACCCACCCACTCCAGCCAAAAAACAAAAGTGGGTGTTGGCCTCAGACAGCCGTCTCCAGGCCTGCAAGCAGGCTCCTTGTGGGACAGGAGGTGGGGACTCTTCCCTCTGCCTGCGAGGGCCTATCAAAGTTTCTACCCCCCCCAAAAAAAATCCAGATTTCTCCTAGTGGGGAGCCCACTGCTAAAGCAAATAAGATTTCCTCCATAATTCCAGACAGATAAACAATCCAGGGCTCAGAGAGGTTAATTGACTTGCCCAAGGTGTCACAGTGGGTCATTGTGGAGCCGGGATTAAACCAGCCCCAGTTGGCTTCAAAGCCTGTGCTCTTTTCACAGGCTCACACTGCAGGACTGACCAGGCGGGAAGTATGTAGCAGCTGGATGACGTAATAGGACCCAACTAGCAAGTGGTGGAGGGAAAGGCTTTTGTACTCATGCCTGGGAAAAGAAAAATGGGAAAGACAATATGAGGAGAGAAACTTCGAGGCAGCTGCAAAAAGATCTGGGCGTCAGGCATCCCTGGCCAGGGCCAGAAGACGTGGGTAGGCCCGTCTTTGGGGAGTCCTGGAGGACAGGGCAAGGGGTGGTAGGAGGCGTGGAGAAGGTGGTGCCGGCATCTGGTCTGCTCCTGAGGAAGGGGAAGGGCTGCTTGCTGTCTAGGAAGGGGTTGGCCGGCAGGGTGGGCCAGGGATTGAGTCACCAGGGAGAGGCTGGGTACTGACACAGCTGGGCCAGCTCAGCCCAAGGTCAGAGCCTTCTGGGTGGAAGAGAAAGCCAGACTTCAGGAAGTCCCTACACAAACCAATTACAACCGGGCCTCTGTGTCTGCGAGTTCCACATCCATGGGGCCAACTGGCCGCAGATGGGAAATATTTGGAAAACAATTTAAAAACTAGCAATACAATGATAAAAATGACACACATTAAAAAACAATACAGTTGACCAGCGATGCACATAGCGTTTGCACTGCGTTACTAGGTATCGTAAGTAATCCAGAGACGATTTAAAGTACACAGCCTGGGTAACTTACGAAAAGAAATTTAAAAAGAGCTTGGCCTGGTGAGGCATGCCTATAGTCCCAGCTACTCGGGAGACTGAGGCGGGGGGATCGCCTGAGCCCAGGAGGTCAGGTCTGCCATAAGCCATGATTATGTCACTGCACTCCAGCCTGGGTGACAGAGAGCGACCCCACTCAAAAAAATTTAAAAATAAAGTACGTGGGAGGCTCTAGGCATGTACAACGTGATTTTAGATCAGGGACATGCGCATCCACAGATTTGGGTATCTGTGGGGGGGGGGGTTCTAGAACCCCTGCAGTTACTGAGGGACAACTGTGTGGTAATTAACCAACAGATTTTGACAAATGGCAATAGCCCTCCCTCCCCAGTTGACTGAGCTGTGACAGAGACACCCTCCCTTGACCCAGTTTGAATCAGACTCCTCTGAGTCCTCTTTCTGCCCAGGCCCTGACCTTGGGCTCTGTCCTTGGCCCATTTCGTCCAGTTTCAGCAAGAATCTTGCTGGATCAGTTCATCGAAAATCGCCCGGGCTTGATATCTGATCAATTTCATCCTCCCTCACCCTTGATTGTGTTATCAGTCTGACTTACCTTCAGCAAAAATCCTGCCCCTTCAGATCAACCAGAGTCCCCCTTATTCCTGTGTCTTCTCTTGGTAGTTTTCCACGCAC